TGTCTGGGGCCTGGGATGGAACTCTCGGAGTAGGGAAGCGGCCTGGGGAGGGCCGGGCAGCTGGGTGGGAGGTGAGGAAAGCTGCGGTCATGAATGAATGTGGGGTTTTGAAGTCACCAGACAGAGCTGGAATTGGATGCACCAATTTGAAAACTCACTCCCATCCTCTCTTTACGTCTCCTCCCCTTTCTCCGATGATTGGACTCCCTCTCTAAGCCCATTCACTGAGCTCCCCACCCCTCACTCAGCCCCTCCCTCTCTCTGAACCCATCTCCCGTCTTTCTGTCCCCTTCTGAGAGGTGCCCTTTCTGCCGGGGCTGTGGGACTCCTGCCCGTGGGCAGCAGTGTGGCCTTGCTTCTCTCCCTTGAAGATTCCCAGCCATGGTCACCCTCACCCCCACCTTCTCCTTCAGCCCACGTGGGGCCCCGCCTGGGGGCTGCACCGGCTCAACCAGTCTGGCCAGCTGGGCAGCCCGGCCTCCTGTGCAATCCGGTGTGTTGTTAGCCTGTCCAGGGCCAGGAGAGAGAACAGCCACTGGGGCTGGCTGCTGGGCTGAAGCTCCGGAGGCCACGTGCTTAGCCGAGGGCCAGACCTCTCCTTCTGGGTCCACGGCCCATGGCTTTCTAGAGCCCGTGCTGGGTCGGCCGAATCCCCAGCAGGGCAGCCAGCTCCGGGGGCCCTCACCAAGTGTCTTCGCCGAGCCTCCTAGTGCCTGGGAGGGAGGTGTCGTCATCCTCCTTACCCAGGTGAGAAAATCGGTTGAGAGAGTTTAATTCTGTTGCCCAATGTCACAGAACTGGTAGTGGCACAACTGGGACTCGACCCAGGGAGGGCTGGGGTCATTTCAGATGAGAGCCACAAAGGGGTCACCACATCCTCCTACAGATTCTGAAAGTCCTAGCCTGGGGCCCAGACCTCCCGGAGCTCCCCCAGTAGGAAATCCCCATCCCACCTGGCTGGTAGGAAATCCCCATGGTTTCCAGAACCCTGCAGGAGGCGGTGGACTGGATTCGACCAGCCGGCTGGGTCTGCCTGCTTGCTGTGAGGTTCTGGGAGGTCCTCCTCCTGGGACAGTTCGGGGAGATGGCTGTGAAGTGAGTGACCTGGTGCCGCAGTCTTGGCAGTCCCAGGAGATTGTGACATTCCCATTGCAGATCACTTACTGACATTTTAAAATGTTATAATGTAATGGCATTTTCACTTGTATCTGTGGTCTGAGAAGTTAGTGAACTTCTGCAAAAATAAATAGTTTTGGACCAATTTCCAGGTGGACTAATTTTTGAGCGGAGAGTGAGACTGCCTCCTTCCATCGCCCCCCCCCCAATTTTATAAAGATAATAATTACATCCTTAAATATATTTACAGTTTTTATTCTCTTCTGATTTTATAAGGACCACACATTACGTTTGGTGGGGAGGAATAACTTTAAGCTGGCACCAGCTCCCCTGGCCGCAGTCTTCCTGTTCCCAGAAGAGAAAGAGCAAAGGCCCTGAGACCTGAACCTGCTGGGCCCTCCACTGCCTCAGAGCCTCTGACGGAGCCCTCCTCCCCACCCACCCAGCCGCCTGCTCCCCCTCCCCTCGTCAGGTGTCGAGAGACTCTTCTGGCTACCCTGGAGGGAGGGTGGCAGGCCCAGTGCTGGCTCTGGGCTCAGGAGGCACCCAAGGATCTGGGTGCAGGGCACTGAAGTGAGTGTGGTCCTGTGAGCAAGGATTTGCCCGAGCCCCAGGGATTCTGGGGACAGGGGTCTGAGATTCCCTAGCCCTCGCTGGTGCGAGCAGGACCAGAGCTGAGGGGCAGCCGCTTTGTGCCTCCAACTGGGTTCTGGCCTCCTCATGATACTAAAAGCTCTTCAGCTCACAAAGATATTTTCATATCCTCAACTCATTTTCCTTGTGCCTTAAACAGGGAGGGGCGGCCAGGTCCTCATTTTACAGAGGGGAGTAAGATGGTTCCCAGGTGGGCAGGGATGGGCGCGCTGGTCTGGTGGGGGAGAGGGCTGTTCTGTACAAAACCCAGCATGTATGATACAGTTCCACTGGCATAAAGTTATACAGTGTAATTTGGCAGAAAGAAAAAGAAAGTGCTAAGCCTGCCTCCTCTGCCCCAAAGCAAAGGTGACAAATGGCAGATGCACTGTAAAGTGTCACAGTAAAAGTCCTCCTGAGCTGTTAGGAGGGCCGGCTCCAGAGCCAGAGTGGGCGCAGGAAAAGTGTCTGGCTTCGCTGGGATTTTTCCTGCGGCGGGTGGGTGGGACTCAGCCAGTGGCTCCTGGAAGAAATCAAGCATAAACAAATTTCTCTCCAGCTCCTCTCACGTGCAGAACAGCTCCCAGCTCCTGCAGCGCCCCTCCTGCTCCTTCTTTACACCTGAGCTCCCCACAGACCTCCCCTGCCCTGGGCCGGCACTTTGCCGGATCCCCTCCCGCACCTGCCCTCCCCCGGCCTCTGCCCCTCCCCCATCTCTGCTGTGCTTGGCTGGGCTGAGCAGGGAAGGACAGCTTCTTAGTCACTTCTGTTGGGACACAGGTGAAAAGTTATAGGGCCCACATGCTTCCCCTCCTCCACTCCTGCTTCTCTATGTGCCAACTGGCTGCTTCCCAGGAGAGCAACAGCAGGAAGTTTGTGAGAAGGGGGAGGATGGTCTGGCGATCTGGCCAGCTCCCTTCTGTAATCAGAGCTTCTGAAGGGCTGGGACCACAGGTAAGGATCACTGGCAGGGGAGCAGTAAAGAGGCTCCCCTGATGAAGGGCCTAGCCCGTCCTGGGCGAGCCCTGGCCCTCTCTGGGCCTCAGTTCATCCATTTGTGCCAAGGCAATAAGAATCCATGCCCTGCTTATGGGCGGGGAGGCTGGGTTGAATTCATTGCAGGAAAGCACTTATTGTCAATCTCTAAGGATAGTTATCTCTGCATTCAGCCCACAGGCCTCAGGGCGTGCAGTTCCTCAGAACTTTGTAAGGTAAACCCGGGGAGGCGTGGCCCAGGCAGAAACCATCCCTGTTTGTGTTGGTGTGTATTCCTAAGTGTGTGGGGAGAGATATGGGAGAGTGGGGGCGGGCACTGGGAACATGGAGAATGACTTCTGCATTATCGAGCACCTTGAGTATTAATTGAGCACCTACTATGTGTCAACGCCTGTGCGGAGCTCTGAGGTTCAATAAGGCACTGCTTTTGTCCTACAGGAGACCCCAGCCTCGCAGGGGAGACAGATGTGTTCACAGTCCACCACAACACAAGACCTCACTCCCCCATTGTGCTGGACTGTCCCAGCCCACCTTACGCTTCCTTAGGTGCCCAAGTGCTCCCCGTGTGTGGAGAGGTCACAGATGGCTTCCACCCAAATCATGCAAGCTTAATGCTTCCCTAGCAGGAAACTCAGGGCCCTCATTCCTCTGTCAGAATCAGTTACCTCAGGGTGCCAGGCGAGGTGCTGGACAATGCTGGGGGCTCAGGGACACATTGGAGTCCTGGCCCCAGAGGCACCACTCCCCAGCATGATGGGGAAGAGGAACACGCAGTGACCATGTGCGTGAAGGGTTCCCTTGATCCAGCTGGGATGAGCCCCAGCCACTCTCTCTCTCACCCCCACCATTCCCCCTTCCTCTCGGTCCCCTCAGCCTGCTGCCCTGAACCAGGTCCTTCCTGATCCTGGGGCCCCTGCCCTGCTTTCACCTCCGTCCTGTTTCCAGAGACACCTTTCTACAAGGTCTGTGGAGACCTTCAACCGGAACCTAGTGCCCGGGCTCATCCCAGTGCCTCTGTGCACAGGCTGAGGGCTTGGTGATGTTTGAGGCAGAAATTTCTGGCCCTTTCACTCCAGCCCCTCCCCTCCCCCCACCCCCGGTCTCTGGTCAGACTGGATTCCTCTCATTCCTGGAAAAGCTGCATTTCCCCACATTGAGGTAACTGTGCCCTCGAAGCTCCCTCTCCCGGATGTCTTCCTCCACCCGGTTCTGCTGCCCTGCGTAACTCCAGGGGGGCCCATTCATGAAGATCTTTGTCACCAGTGCCCCCTGTAGTGTAACCGAAGAATGCGGTGCCCCTTCCCGTCAAGCCTCCTCCTCAGCACCCCACTTCCACCCCTCTACCCCGGTCTGAGTTTTCCCTCCCCTTGAAGTCTCATGGGACTTTGCACCCATTCTAGCTTTATCTGACACCTGTTCTGTGTGTCCTCACAGAGCAAACACCCATTTACTGGGCTGATGTCACCAGGGTCTGGCCCACGGCATGTTCTTGGTGACCCCTCCAACCCAGTTCTGGCCAAGCAGGTCAGCCCTGGCAGGAACGAAGCCCACTGGCTGAAATTTTCATGACTGGGGCCAGGATTCCTTCTCTTTGGCTGAAAGGGCGTCACTTCCAAGGCCCCCTACTCTGGCAGGGCTGGGAAGCTGGTAGTGATGGTGAGAGATGGGGAGCATGGGTGATGGACGCAGGAGTCCTGTCTCCCAGCTCTCCGACCCCCCAAACCAGACCTCGCCAGGCCAGTGCCGAGACTACTCCTGAGGCAGGTGCGTGGTCAATGAGAATCAACAGCAGCGACCAGGCCAGTGATGGAGGTGGTGAGGATGCAGCAACAGTAGTAATCGAGGTGTGGCCACTCTGCTTTCCCAGGGTTTCGTCCTCACCTCCAACCTTCCTGAAGGTCCCCACCCCTGTCCACCCAACCAGGCCTGGAATGAGGGGTTTCAGGGGTGTAGGGACCCTTGTTTTCACATCCAGAACCGGGCCAAACCTGGTGGCCCCCCTGGCCTGGCCACTTCCAGGTGCTCCTGAGCAGTGACTCAGAGTCTGACCTCAGCATGGGCCTGGTTGCCAGGGGAGAGGGCAGTTTCTTATGAGATTGTGACTCAGGGGCCCAGGGCTGGGGACTTAAGTGCCTTTGTTGGCCTGGGCTCAGGAATCCAGAGAAACTGGTCGAGGGAAAGGCCTCAGGGATGAAACGCCTCCCTCTACCCACCCTCCACCCCGCCCCTCCGCAGAGCCATATAACCGCCCCCGAGCTCTAGCTTGTGAGCCTGTGGCAGCTGTCGGCAGGAAGGAACCAGTCTGGTCACACTCCCTGGGCTTCTGCTTCGGACTCCCGTGAGAGACACTCAACCGGCTTTGCCTTCGGACTTGCAGTGAAAGGCCTCCCTGTGGACAGTGTCCATCCTCAGCACTTGGATTTCTACAGCCCCCAGGGCCAGATTCCTAAAGACTTCCAGGTCCCAGACCCCAGCAGACACTGAAAGATGGCCTCCATGGGGCTGCAGGTGATGGGCATCGCGCTGGCCGTGCTGGGCTGGCTGGGCGCCATACTGAGCTGCGCGCTGCCCATGTGGAGGGTGACGGCGTTCATCGGCAGCAACATCGTCACGTCGCAGACCATCTGGGAGGGCCTGTGGATGAACTGCGTGGTGCAGAGCACCGGCCAGATGCAGTGCAAGGTGTACGACTCTATGCTGGCACTGCCACAGGACCTGCAGGCCGCACGCGCCCTCATTGTCGTCTGCATCATCGTGGCCGTGGTGGGAGTGCTGCTGTCTGTGGTGGGTGGCAAGTGCACCAACTGCGTGGAAGACGAGAGCACCAAAGCCAAGATCATGATTGTGGCGGGCGTGGTGTTCCTCCTGGCGGGCCTGCTGGTGATGGTGCCCGTGTCCTGGACGGCCAACACCATCATCCGTGATTTCTACAATCCTCTGGTGGCCTCGGGGCAGAAGCGAGAGATAGGGGCCTCACTCTACATCGGCTGGGCTGCTGCAGGTCTGCTGATGCTCGGTGGGGCTCTTCTCTGCTGCAACTGCCCACCTCGTGCTGACAAACCCTACTCGGCCAAGTACTCTGCTGCCCGTTCCGCCCCTGCCAGCAACTACGTGTAAGGTGCCGCCGCTCAACTCTCCCTGTTGGCTTTGTTTCTCCCTGGACTGAGCTCTGTGCGAGTCTGTGAACCCAGGAGGGCCCTGCCATGGTCTGCAGGCTGCTGGGGGATGGGCAAGCAGGGACTGAGACCGGCCATTGGCCAACAGCCCTCAGCCCCTTCTGACCCCCTTGGATACTTTCCTAAGGCCTCCTCTACAATAGCAAGGATGGACTGAAAGGTTTCTGAGCCACCCTCCTCTGAATGGCCTGTGGAAGCAGGGAGGGGCAGGCAGCAACAGGGCATGGCAATGGAGTGGGGAGCTGGCTCTTGGTGGCCGGGACAGCTCAGCCCTGACTGCTTGGACTCTAAGCGTGTGCCCTGCCCATGCTTGTGTTGGTCACCGTTCCCTTCTTTGATCTTCCCCACTCCCTCCGAAGGCATCCAGTGGAAACCTGTGACCATGAAAATGGCTGGGGCCTCACTCGTCCACCTGCCTGTGGAGCAGAGTTGACTGACGGGTTCAGAAGGGAGGGGTGAAGGTGCTGCGGACTGGTTTGGGTAGTGGTGGGGGAGGGGGCCTCAGAGGAGGCCCCGGCTGCTGGTACTCCGTCCTACCCACCTGCAGCCTCAGCGGGAGGAACCTGGGCCCCTTGAAATCAGTCCCTTCTGGATCTGCCATCCTTGTGAAGGTCATCGGCTAGCGTGGGGACGGCAGGGGGAATGATCTTTCTCTGGCCTGCATCCTAGTTAAGTTCTGGAGCTTTTTCCTGATTCTGTGGTTTGTTTTGTAATTTAAGACCTATTTGTCACGGAAATGACTATTATTTTCTACAATAAATGAGACCTGTGCACAGGAAGACTCTGTATGTTTCTGATTGCAGCTGTGGTGGTGGGTGGGAGGAAGGCTGGAGGGGGTTAGCGAGGGCAGGACCACTGTGTCGGGCCTGGATGGGAACACTTTAAAAACACGTTTCATGAAAAAACTGGAAATGGCCTGGCTTTGGAAGTCACCTTGCTCAAACTCAATTTGTCAGAGGGTGAAACCCCTACGCAGGCAAGTGTATGCCCAGAACTCGGGTGAAGTGCTGGGGACTCCAGGAGAGGGGACAGACGAGAACTTCCAGCCCTGGGAAATGGGCCACCTGTCACTCTCCCTGTTTGTCCCAGCTTTGTCTGGGCAGCCGGGCTGGTCTGCTCACCCTCCAGGCCCCGCCTCCCGGCCTTTGCTCAGGCTGTCCCTGCCCTCGGCCTGGAATGTCCCTTTTCCTTTCTCCGCCCGCTGAACCCTGCTTATCCTGAAGGCCCAGCTCAGGGCATCCTCCCCCGTGAGGCCTGCCCACTTGCTCAGGGCAGTCTCCGAGCCTCACTCTGAGTTCCAATCTCTTCCGAGGTGAAGAAACCACGTCCTGGACAAGTGAAAGTGTTCGGCCAAGCCCAGATATGGGAGTGGGGGTTTCCTGTTTGATAAGTTAGAGATAAGGGAGCCGATCGCCCTGGGAGGAGTCGGAGTCCCATCTGTGGCCCTAAGGCGCCCGGGGCAGGGCCGACCTGGGGTGGCGGCCTCTCTACCCAGTTTCTTCTCACTTCCGTCCTCCACAGGTCATGGGTACAATGTCACTTTTTCCTGGGGTGAGAGAACCGCAGAGCCAAAATCCTGCTGACCCTTCTGGAGCTCATTTAATAGGCAGAGCTCTCCTGAGGAGAGGGCTGGCACAGTGGCCCTGCTTGACAGATGAAGGCCCAATAGTAGGCCCGACTGAGGTCACCTGGAGGGTCAGAGGCCAGTTAGGGGCTGAGCACCGGGCCTCATCCCTCAACCTGGGTCGCCTCCTGCTTTCGGTACAAGTAGACAATGCCAGGGATGTAGCCATCAGTGCCAGGCACCTCCTCAAGCTTGGAGGTAGCCAGCTCCCACCGGTCTACAGTCCAGGCTACCAGGCGCTCCCACTCGCCGGCCTGTTCCAGCCTGTCCAGGGTAGCCTCCAGTGCCTCCTTGTAGCGAAGGTTGGATGGGTTGGCTCTGGTGGTCAGGCACACCAGGCCGCCTGGGGAGGGGTGGGAGAAAGAGAGGTGAGTGGGGGAGGGGCAGGAGCCAGTTTCAAGTTACCAGTTCCCTTCTAGCTCCTGTCCTCAAGGACTTAAGTTCTTCCCGCCTGTCCCCAGGCCAGCCTCTTGCTGTCTCCAAGCCTTTGGTACTTACCATCCCCCTCCCCGTGAATACCCTCTGCTTCTCCGACTTGAGTGCCTCCTACATCTGCTTTAGGGCCCAAGTATCCTTTATGCTGGGAACTCTTTATTTCCCTTTCCCTGAGGGAGAGGGGGCTCCCTCCTTACCACTCACCCCTCCCCTCTGCTGAGGGATATGGCTGTGTCTGGATGCACAGGAAGGAAACACACGCTTTGGACCTGGCCCCTTCCCTTCCACGTGTCTGTTTCCCAGCTCGCAGAGTGGGGTTGATTAATTACCCTGTCTCAGAAAGGCCGGTGCAGTCAGTAAGCACTGCTGAATGCATGAATGAATTCGTCCTTTCAAATCTTTTCCAGGCACATACAGTATGCCCAGTGCAGGCTCAGATACACCCAGGAGATACTGGTGTCTGACAGGTTGCCTGGGAAGAAGGTGAAGGGAAGCAGGCCTGGCTGGTGGAGAGGGGCTCTGTGAGAGGAAGGGCTCTGGGGCAGGGAAGCCTGTGACGTGTGTGCAGGCAGGCAGGGCTCTGGCCAGCTGCGGGGTCTGGTAAGAACGGGCTGGGCCAAGAGGCCTGGTCTTTTCTGGTTCAGGCAGTGGGAGTTTCCTGTCCTGAGCCCAGTCACCACTTTTCTCTGACTCCACCAGTGTCCCTACATCTGTCACCTCCATGGTCCCAAGGCCTGCCCAGGCTTAACTGCAGCCCCTGCAGGGAGATAGGATCACGCTGCGATTGGGAAACCTTCGGAGCTTCCTGCTCCTGACCTGCTGCCAGGATCCCCACGCTCCACTACTCTCCTTTCTGCCTGTGACTTTGCTTTGGCTGTGTCCCTGTGTGGACTGCCCTCACTCCCTACCCCAGCCCTGGGAAATGCCTCTCTGAGATGTGGGAGCACTGAGTGCCCCCGGCCCTCCTGAGCCCCCCTCAGGGAGGGCAGTGGGCCCTGCAGTGGATGTAGCCCAAGTGTTGGAAACTAGGGGCGGGGTGGGGGAGGTGACAGCCCAGAGGGCAGGCTGTGTACATTCTCGCCAGAGCAGAGGGAGGCACAGGGCAAGCCACACAGTAGGAATGCAGTAATCGACCCCATTTCACAGATGAGGAAACGGAGACCAGGAGTGACTCACCTAAGAGCCATCCAAGAGTTAGTGAGGAAGCTAGAAGATGAGAGAACTGAATGGAGACCCTACTACATACCAGGACTACAGCAAAGTCCTCTGAGACACTATTTCACCCCATTCTCACAGCAATCCTATCAGGAAGGGACTACGCCACCCTGCTTACAGGTAGAACAGAGGCTGAAGAGGAGAGTGGAGTTGTTACTGGTTGCCTAATGAATAAGAGGCAAGGGGGCCACTTGTCTGGCCTGCCTGCTTGCCTGGGTCGGCAGCTGGTGGCTGGAATGTTCGGCTAGGCTGTGTAACCCCGGGCAGGACCAGGCCCCTTGCTTGGCCTCAGGGTTTCTAAGACTTGTGTCTTTGGGTGTGGAGAGGGGAAGGTGCGTGTGGGCTGCTTTTCACCTGGCTTGGTAACTCGCAGGAGCTCAGGAACTGCACTGCAGGGCACCTGGCCGTCACTGAGGGCACCCACCATCAGCACTGCGTCATAGGTCCCTGTGTGAGGCATGCAGATGTGGTGTGCTGGTTTGTCTTCAGTGTGGCCTCAGCCCATCCTGGAGGACAGCAGCCATCCTCTGGGGCCCTGGGGAGGGACCAGGCCAGCCACTAGTGTCTGCAGGACCCAGATCTCATGGGGAACATGGCAGGTGGAGCCCAGTCCTGGGCTAAGGTCAGATCATGGATGGAGGGCTCAGAGAGAGGGGTTCACGGGGCCTTGGAGAGGGTCTTAGTGAGGCATTGGGGGTTCAGAAGTGAATAAAGGCTCAGTGTAGAAGGGGGCTTATGGAGCGCTCAGCAAGGGGGCGGAAAGCTTAGTAAAAGAGAGCCGTCAAGGCAGGTTTGGTCAGAGAGTGGGCCTTGGGGTGTTGGGGTAGAAGGGGACATACCTTCAGGGCTGGGCAGAGGCTCCTGGCCCAGGGTGCAGAGGCTGAGGTGCTGGTAGAGGCCGCGGGCCTCGGCCTGCTTCAGCATCGCTGGGCTCCCATCTACCCCATGCAGCTGGAGGAAGCCCCGAGCCTGCAGCTGGGATGGGAGGACTCAGTTCATACCTGCCACCTCTCAGCCGGGTCCCTGCACCTCAAGAAGGGCAGTGGGCCCTGCAGTGGATGTTGCTCAGGTGTTTGAGAAACAGTGAGCCTAGGCCTGGAGTGGCAAGAAATTTGAGCAAGTGGGGGGCTTAAGAGAGAGCAAAGGGTCTGGGCAGAGCTCACCTCGACAGCCACCAGGCCGGTGCCACAGGCCACGTCCAGGATCAAGGCGGTGTGGGGTGGGCCTGGAAGGGCTTGGCTGAGGCAGTGCACTGCAAGGCGGGGGGCTCGGTACTGCAGGCTGGCCACGTCCTGGGAACGGAGTGCTGAGCTGCCTACCAACCTGTGCCCTAGTGTTTGGGGGACCTCAGTGTAGGGTGGTCTAGGAGTCAGCCAAGCCAAGCTGTTTGTGTGTGTGTGCGGGGGCAGGACAGGAGAGTCAATCCCCAGCCCCTGCTGAGACCTGCTCTGCTGGCTGAGGCAGTGCTGTTTACTCCATAGTGACCCTCCATGGCACCTCTTCAGGTAGGCAGTCCTGCCTGGGCTGCAGTCCCAGAGTGGGGACGGAGGTCTTGACCCCTGACCTTTAGGGGCTGCCACTGTGCAGTGTGAGGCTGCTCAGACAGCAAGGCTGCTGTGGGTGGGCATTAGAGGGGCCAGTCGGAGAGAGGGGGCAGGACTGAAAGATTGTGTCCAGGTCTCACTTCATTCTCACAAGCCGCGCTGGGATGCAAGGCTGTCTATTCCCGCTGTACAGATAGGAAAACTCAGGCTGGGTGGGCAAGGGAGGTGGAGGACCCCCGGCGGGTTTACCTGGTCATAGTCCGGAGCCCAGCGTTCATAGAAGTGCAGCGTGTGGGCCAGGTCAGTGATGCGGTGCAAGGACCCGACCCGCGCCCAAGCCTCGCACAGGCTTCCGCCCTCCTCCTGAGCCATCCTCCTGCTGGGGACACAGTCTCAGTGTCCTGACATCCACCTCAATCTCCACCTCCCACCTGCCCACCCGCCATGCCCAGTAGAGGCCCTCCAGGCCACCAGCACAATCCCATTTCACAGGCGGGGACGCTGAGCAGAGACTGGACACTTGGGGTTTAGGGCTGGAGCAGGGGTGTTCTCACGGCTGGAGGGAGGGCCTGTCCCGACCTCCCCACCTCCGGCCCCCGTGAGAGGGTTTCCAAGGCGGAAATTTCTCCACGGTGGTAGGAGTAGTCGCGGTGGGGGCGCGGACCGGAGCTCACGGACAGCCCGAATTGCAGGAACTCTAAGGGAGGAACTCGCGGCGACCCTGGCAGAACCCCCACCGCCCTCGACGATTGGCTTTCTCTTAAGAAAAACTACCCAATTAAAAAAAGCGCTGCCCGTCCGCCCCTCCACCACCAGCCAATAAGCTCAGAGCTTTGGTCCTTGTCCCGCCTGGGAAGACCCGTCTGATACGTTTTTTTTGGTAGTGGAGTATGTGGCTTTACGAGTTTTTCTGCCCTCGCGGCTTCCCGTGTTCTTTATGCTTCCTAAAAAACATGAGCTG